TGGCGGCGGGAGGGGAAGCCCCGGGCTGGGCCAGGCGATGGGCGAGCGCTGAGGAGCAGCGCGACGGACGGGGGCATCAGGACGGCTGCTCCTGGTCGTAGGCTTGGGTTTTAGGTGGCCCTGCGAGGAGCAGGGCGTTGGGCTTGGCAATTCCTGTGGGTCCCTTCCAGGTGGAGGCGTTCTGTGGTTCTACATAACTAACATGCCAAGGACCGGGTGTAGCTCAGCTTTTGCTGCGTTTGCAGGTGCTCTGCATGGTACAGACCCTCTGAGATACACACCTGGCTGCTTTTTTCACCCAGCTTGAAAACCCACCAGCCTTTTATTGAAATACTCGACCAGCTCCTCCTCTTACCATAGATGAAAAGAACTTCTGACAGCTAATTCTTGCACGTTTTCGTAGCTTAGCTGATACAGCTTTGTTTGCAACTTCCTTTTCCTCATTTTTCCCAGAATTTACCTTTCAACAGTCCACGATAAACCTATTTTGTCCCTTTTTGTATGCTTTCCATATGTATCTCATACAGCAAATCCATGTATTGGGTGGCACTGGAAAACCTTTGTCACCAACTAGAAAAGTAGGATTATAAAAATCCTTATGTGTTAAATGTTTTCATTTCATGATTTGTGTTGCCCTTCTGCCATGTAGCTGTTGGTTTCATCTCCAAGGCTGAACAATTTGGCCCTGTTTTTACTACTTCAGCCTGTTACAGGGGCCTGAACCCGGACTGGTGGGAATACAAGTGTATGCCAGCAGCAGAAGTACCTGAAGGATCAGCTTTACACCGGGGTTTTAAACTCTGGAGTACTGTTACTTCAGCCTGTGTACTGTGAACTATATGCTGTTTGGCCGTGCAATGTTGCAGCCTTGCAGCAGGTGGAGGTGAGAAGAACATCAGCTGTTTTAAATCAGTCCTTTACTTGAATGGCAATTAGTGCGACTGCCAAAAATGCTTTTATGTCAAGAAGCCAATGAAGTAAAACAAGTAAAATCCAAAAGAGGTTATGTCATCTTAAGATTTTTAAATTCTGTTGTGTAAATAGTGGAAATGTCGCTTTGTGGACTCTCTCCAAAGTTTTGAAAGGGTATTGATGTGTGTGTCAGAAGCCAGAAAGTAACTTCAAAGCAGTGTTAATCTTTCATCATCTAGATAAATTTTTCATGCACTGGGTAGACATCTCTGCAGGGTGAATGTAGCCTGGTCAGTCGCTTCATCTGCAGCAACAGCTATAGCAAGAATTGTTTTGTTAGAAGAACAAAATAATTAAGGCTTTGCAGCCACAATGACTTCTGTACTTGTTTAATTCTATGTAGCACAAGAATCGTAGAGCAACAGAGCTGGAAAGGACCTCAGGAAATAATCTAGTCCATGTGCCTGCTTAAAACACAACCAGTTACTCCTGTGGCCCTCCAAATAGGGGTTTTACCTTTACCCAATCTCTTCTTGAAAGTGTCCAATGAGGAAAATTTCATTCCCTGATAGGCAATGCAAAGCTTTATTCCACTGTCCATTTCATAAGGCTTTGTCTACCAGGGATGTGGAGAAGACATCATTTTCTTTGGGACAACTACTTGCCTTCTGAGGACTGCTCTTTGATACTGTGTTTGTCTTTTTCTAGTCTGCAGTGTCTTGTCCATCCCCTGAAAGCACTGAAGGAGGATAGCTAATGGTAACAAGATTCTTCAGTTACATTTCCAAGTATTTTACTGTAATGTTCAACAAGTTCAGCCAACTAAAAGTCTCCAGGCAGTTCCTGGCTGAGATCTTTCTCACAGGTAATAATACAAGACACTTGCTCATAGCTGATCTTTTAGTGAGCGATGGCACATCATCACTTTGGCTTTCTTGGCATTGAATTTCATTAATTTTGCCTTTCCACTGAGAAGCAGAGCAGCACTTTTATTGGTCTGTTCACAGACGTCTGGAAAATTTCCTATTTATCCTTGGTATCTCAAAAATTTATTTCCTTCTATTTGTCTCATGTAGTTGCCCACATCAAGAATACCCTGAAGACCAATTATTTGGGAAAATAAATGTAAACTGCTGAAGTTTCAAAGTCTTTATTTCCGCACTGACTTCTGGAACAACTCTTTCTCTACAAGAACTTGGCTTTAGCAGAAGCATTGTTCAATAAATGGGACAGTGAACTCAGCTACTTTCAGTTCTTATGACACAAAAATACATAGCTTTGTTCTGTCATTGTTTATGAGGTTTTAGTAACGTAGAAAATTGCTGACTGTTGTCTGCGCATATAAATTCCTACTACTTTAGAAAAAGAGGTGTTAGTTACATGCAGTGCCAATGGGAAGTCATACCCATCATTATATTTTGCAGATGCTATATATTTATCAGTAGTATAGGAAGTGATTATATCTGTTAAGCACTCTAGAAGTTTGATTTAAGAGGCAGACGGTAGAGGAATAATGAATTAAAGCACTATCGCATATGACAGCTGTCCCGCTCATGTGATCTAACCAAGAGCATTTATGGAGTCCAATACTGGATTCCTTTAGATGCCACTAACTGTTATTCCCTATTCTTGATCTTGTCTGGAAATATGGCTATGTTATCTTGGGGGACAGTGCCAGTCAAAACCAGTCTTTATATAAATACCTGTAGAGAAATTGCCCCTTTACCTTGAGAAAAAAATGCCTGGTAGAGCTTTGTAACCTGCTTCCCTACCTGCAGGAGTGTTAGGTTCATTGGAACAGCAGTTGTGTTTGCAAGAGGCATCCAAACCATTATGAAATTTTGTTCTTGAAGGATTTTCTTAATCACCAACGTTATTAATCACCACAATGTCTTCAATCTCCAAGCTACTAATTTACCATTCATGTTTGTTAAGCTTGACAAAGGAAAAAAATTGCTCTTATGTTTTCACTTCTGCTTTCTCTCTGGTTCTTCACTGTCTTGTTTCTGGAACAGCACTGTTTTGTACAGTTTAAGCTGCAAAGACATTATGAGGAAAACCAAATTAGTTGTGTTCCAAGCTTTTATTACAGTACTACAAAATACAAAGCTTTGTCTCTCCCTCTTCCCCGAAAATACCTTTTAGATGTAAATTGCTTTATAATAGCTCTGTAAGTTCTACTGTAAAACAAGTATTTTAGACCTGCTTCTGCCTTCCAGTAATGATGATGCAGAGTTTGAATTGAGATCTAGTAAATGTCTTGCCAGCCCTATGGTATGGCTTTCTCATGACAAATGTCTAGACCACTTAAAAAGATGATGTCATGATTTGCTATTGCTGTGGACAGACATTTGTCCATGGAATGTGGAAAGAGGGACAGGCCACTTGGGAAGAGTACAGAAACGTGGTGAGAGCATGCAGGGATGCGACGAGGAAGGCCAAAGCCCACCTGGAAATGAAGCTGGCAAGGGATGTCAAAAACAACAAGAAGGGCTTCTTCAACTACATCAGCAGCAAAAGGAAGGCTAGGGACAATGTGGGGCCGCTGCTGAATGAGGCGGGTGTCCTGGTGACGGAGGATGCGGAGAAGGCAGAGCTACTAAATGCCTTCTTTGCTTCAGTCTTCAGTGCTAAGACTGGCCCTCAGGAATCCCAGGCCCCGGAGGTAAGAGAAGAAGCCTACAAAGAGGAAAATAAACATCTGTTCAAACTAAATGTCACTTCAAATAATATTTTTCTTTACTTTTGGTTTAATGTAATGGTTCTAATTCCACGGACACCTTCCTCCTGTGTATTCCAATTAGTTGCTTCAAAAGCAATCTCTAAGGTGGTGCTGTGTTATGTCTGCCTTGCTAAGTGCCACAGGGGCATACAGAGAAGTATTTAAGGAGGAAAGGAATACAGCATGTATGGCTACCCACAATTCACATTAAAACTCAGCCATACTCAGTATAAAATCTTTGAATGCCACTCCTAATGGTGCAACTCTTACATCAGC